CACGTCTCAGTCTCCAAATTCTCTATTTACTGATGTTCCTTCATTTCCTTTATTTAATTCCGCTGAGACTGGTCTTTGTCTACCAGCTCTCGGCCTTGGTACCGGTTTCTATGGTATGGAGAACGAGCCCTACGGCACGTATCCCGAATGTGGCGATGAGCCACATGATGATCCTCCTGGTCCTCCGCCGCCTGGTTGCGGTCCTAATTCGCAGAAAGCGGTGTATATGTGGTTGAGCAAAGCGGCTGGACTTCGACTTGATTGTGCCAATTCGTACTATAATCACCGATATGTTGCTCGAGGAATCGAGCAAAGTCTCGTCGATCGATCTCAAATTTTCATTTTGAGCAAAGTCGGACCAACATTTCCTTTGGGATTCAACGAAACAATAGAGCAAACACTGGATATCTTGCAACAGCTTCAGACAAATTGGATCGATTTGTTGCTCGTACATTGGCCGACCATGAAACATCCGGGTCAGCCGTATGTACCAAAGAGCTCTGACCCAGCATGTAATACCACCAATCCACTCACATACAATGAAAAAGAATGTCGTCTATCGACTTGGTCCGTCATGCTCGTATTATTCAACCTTGGGTTGGCTCGTTCCATTGGTGTATCAAATTATAATATCACACACTTGCAAGAGATCATTGATGCTGGATTGCCGCTACCAAGCGTCAATCAAGTTTCGTTTCATCCATACAATTATAGAACTGGACGAGCAGACTTACTTGCATTTTGTCAAAAGAATCGTATTCAATTAGTAGCGTATTCACCGCTAGGAGTGCCCGATGTGCATCAATTTCCTGTCGAACATCAAAAGAAAGGAACAACGGGCTTGTCTCGTACATTGCTGGAAGATCCAGTCATTACTTCATTAGCCAAAGCCTATAATCGCACTCCGGCGCAGATTTTACTGCGTTGGATCTATCAGCTGGGTGTTGCGTCAAATCCGCGCTCGATGAACGAAACTCACATGATAGAAAATCTCGAAATTTTCTCGAATCCATTTGTGATCAGCAACACCGATATGATTCGCATCGTCAATCTGCCTCAAGATACGTGCGACATCGATCCAGACTGGTACCAATGTGTAGGAAATGGGAATTTGCCGTAATAATTCATTCTTCAATTTTCACCTTTCCGAGCTTCATAACTTTTCAAGGTTGTTTTACTTTTGCACATAAATAAAGCTTCGTCAGTGCAACATACTCTTTCAAGATAAGCGAGTTTTTAAGCAACTGAAAGAAACTCCGCTTTCACGAAAAATCAATAAACAAGAGAGATGGAAGTTGCTTCGCATCTGTTTGAAGATATTAACCCTTTCAGGACGGTGATACAAGCGTTGTACCACCTATTTTCTTGGTGAGAAAAATATTTCATTTACTCTTAAGTGTTAAAACTTCTTTTATATAGCGGTTACGAAGTGCTTCAACTGTCATCTTATACATAAATTTTCTTGATGCTGTATACATCCTTCTCAAATATGTGCTTTTCTTTCTGTGACTCTACAATGATGCCATAGTTTCCCTCTCTTCCTCAGACATATTGTTTTACAAGAATGTTCGACAAGAAATTCACTCTCTATTGCTCTTGCATATATGTATATATATTGGAGTGCTCAACTTGACTGATACCCAATTTTGATACAGTCCTATTGTAAGGATAAAACACACTATTGTCAGGGTCATATAAGAGAGGATGGGTGTGGGTGAGGGTGAGGGTGTGGCTATGACTGTGAAACTAGAACGGCGCCCACACCACCACTCCCACTCCCACACCCACACTCACACCCCACCCACAGCCACAGCCACAGCCACACCCCACACCCACACCCACACCCACACCCACACCCTATTCATGTTCAACTAAACCTTGCCATGGAAATAAAGATGCAATTCCGTTTTAGAATTCTGGAACTGCATCGATATGGAATGACCAGGAATTCCTGCCAACTCCTGTCTATTCCTGCATAGGTTCGTGTATTCATGTTCAACTGAACATTGCTATAGAAATAAAGATTCAATTCCGTTTTAGAACTCCGGAATTGCATCGATATGGAATGACCAGGAATTCCTGCATATTCCTGCATAGGTTCATGTATTCATGTTCAACTGACCATTACTATAGAAATAAAGATTCAATTCCGTTTTAGAATTCCGGAATTGCATGGATGTGGAATGACCAGGAAGTCCTGCATATTCCTATGAATTTCGTCGTAGCTTGATGTATTTGTATGTTTTCAAACTGTATGCTTAATTCGTTACGTAATTCTGTTAGCATTGAAATTGATGTTGTAATCAACCTTGCTAATTCGATATGATTGTAATTTTATTATATAAAGAACTCATTAACTTAAGATCTGTAAAGTACGAACGAGAGCATTTCTCATGAGTAGATGCTTGTGTATAAAATGTATTTGATATTTTATCTCGAAGTTATTTATTTCTCTGTAAGATTTATTATTATTCGTTTAGCTTTTTTTTAGAAATAATCAAACTATTAAAAAGTTTTTATATTATATTTTTTTTTAATTGTTTCGCATTTTAAAATTTTTGCAGAAGTTCATCATAGATAGATCGTTAATTTTAAATTGTCCTGATGAGTCTGGACTATAGACTTTTCTGTTTGATCGTTTTGCTAATTAGTCTTTTTTCTTCCTTCGTCTTCGTAGAGAATATATCGTCAGAAAGGGCAAAGGATAGGTTGTACGTCCGTACAAAGGTTAAATTTTATGATAATTTGCAAATTTCATCATTATATATAAATGATACTTCGAAATAGTTAATCTGTTGTTTCGAAATAATCTTCACATGTCTGTAAGAAAAACACGTAACGTGGCATCGTTTCAGTCGATTGCTTCTGAACATGTTCAACGTGCAACAACTCGTGTGTATAATGAAGCTGCATTAAATCCATCGCTCATTGTATCGCCATACATCAATGCTTGGCTGGAAGAACATTCACGAGTCTACATGTATGATCCTGTTGGAATGCTACAATACATTTTATCATTGGCTTCTTTTCTTGGTGAAGATAATTATATATATCGTAATAATCGATAGATGACACCTACGATACTTTTTTTATCATTATGTACTCGTCGGGGTATGAAAGATACAATTTATTTGAGTGTTTTTGTGAAAGTTATTTTTGTTTAGCTTATGGCAAGTCGGATTTATTTCATGCCACAAAAGATTCAATCATTAATCTATTATGTGGGGTGTGGGTGTGGTTGGGTGGGTGTAGGTGTGGTGCAGGTATGGGTGTGACGCGCCGATGTATAAAACACCTACACCCACACCCTAGCCACACCCACATCCACACCCAGTGTGTTCACTGCTTGAATCCAATGTTCTTATCTTTCGTCTCACCAGCTGATGCATAGAAAAAAATATGTTAACTGATTGATCTATCCATTCATCGATTTCTTTTATTTCACCTCGAACAACTCAAAATGACACTGTTACGGGCTAGCCCTCACATTATCCAGGTCTTGTTTTCTTTTCTTTTTCTTTTCTGTCGTTATATGATTTCACTCTTTGTCGTTATGATTACATATATCTTTTTCCTTTATTGTGTGATATCATCCTTTATTCTTGTATTCGTTTTCTCTTTCTTTCCCTCGATCTATTTACTGATATATATACGCGTTTCTTCTCATCTCTTTGGTCGTATGTAGTTAGTGGTTAGATGTGTGTGTATTTCGTGATTACAAAATAAAGAGGAGAAAATTCATCTCTAACAGACACAATACGGTGAAAAACGTCGAAAAGATCAATGGACACTAAATTGACACTATGCTATAAAGTTTTCTTGTAAATAAAAAAAGGATTGTAGAATTACATGTTACAAGAAATGAAAATCTATTAAAACCGTGAACAGATGAACTTTGAGCTTCTTTCAGATAGATATCCATCTAATAAATGGCGTGATCAATATAATAAGCTGCTTTGTTAAAAGATTATATCCATAATTTACTCGGTTGACATGATAAACTCTTGAACCATTCTCGAATAAGTATTCATCGATACAATAATGCTGGAAGAATTCGATGAAGAGCACAATCAAAAATATTTGAAACTTGTTCAACAACTAAAAAATAGTTGGTGAGAAAAAGATTCACTGATGAACGAAATTCTTCGATTAATTCCTCTTGAGAAAATGCATTCAAATCTGCATATATTTCACCTTCAGAATGGAGAAGTATTAAACAATCAATCGATCAAGGTTGGCATCTGTCCACAAATGAATTGTATAGTCGGAGTAGCTCGTTTGCCATCGAGAATGAGATGTTCCAACTGAATACATAGATAAATTGCATGTCATTCACCATTGATGAATGGTTTTTAAAACTAATGAATTAGATTCCACCACAGAAGAGACACAATTATTATAACAATTATCAATCGGAAAATAGACCTTCGTCGACCAATCAACATAAACCCACAGAATGGTTTAAGATGAATATTTTATGAAATGAGACAAGATCATTCAATAATGAAAAACTCATCACTAATATGCCGTTGTTGATAGAAAGTTGAACACACTCTCGGTGGAACAAATTAAAGCTTACATAGACAGATCTTGATCTTTTTATTCTTGTAAATATGCGCAAATATCGAAGAAAGACATGATGAAATAATATTAAAGAGACTACATCATTTCTGTTAATTACTTGAATTCTTATTTCATGCCAGTGGTGCTGTAAAATATAGGAGAAAGAATGTATGACATCGTATACATATGTAATATAACGAATTAATGAATTAGTTCTGAAATATACGTCGAACAAACTCTCAGTTGAATCACTACTGATCCGATTCCAGGAGAAAGCACTTGCTAAAATATTAATTCAAGAAAAATCTGAATTATAAAAAAAATGATAACTAATCAAGGTCGTTCTTGTTTTCTATTCGTACAATACGCCATTTAATCGAATTTTTCCATCTATTTTCAAATTGATGATAGATATTTCATTAGATTTTCAATTTTATTTAATTCAATATTTCTGATGTATCTTCTGTTGGATTTATAAATTCATTTGTTAATTGATTATAGATTGTAATATATTTCTTGTGAAAGTCGATCCATTTATGTGTTTCTAAGGCAAGAAGATCTTCGTATAGATAATTCGCAGCTGTATAATCCGTCAATTGACCAAAACGTTTCAGATTAATACCAAAATAGAGCAAACGCATTGAATGCCATATTAATTTTTTTGTTTTGTAAAAACTATAATTTTTAGGTATTATTGTCTCATGCCAGATTGGATCTTTTGAGAATGTATCAATTGTATTTTGAGTTTCTATATCATTATTTTCATATGGAAATAATATTTCTGTTAAATTTTTACATGCCATAAAAAGATGAGATCGTGAATGATTTATTACTGATTGTTGTAACATTTGATTATTAATAGAAAATGTCTTCGAAAAATTCTTTTTTTCAATCCATTTGAATTTTTCTGGAAGAAAAGTACATTCAATAGCAAACATTGTATTTGTTATTAGAAGTTTTTCAAAAGTATTTCTATTAAACATCCATATTTGTGCATCTCGATCACCCAAATCAATAAAACATGTTTTATCTGTTTGATCAGAAAATAAATGACGAAATTTTGGATTTATCCAATTATGTTTTACCAACCAATTAATATTTTTCCATTTAAAAAATTCATGTGTATCGAATGCATTTGATTTCAATACCATTATTATATCATAATCACTTTGTCGTTGTTCACTTGCTGTTTCATATGCATGGGAACCAAATAAATATATACACTCGATGAATTTTTCATCAATATTTAATCGAGTCAGTAATACTGTTTTGTTCATTTTCAATATTAAAATCGTTTACTGAGTATAACTAATCAGTTCTACCACTACTATTATATAAAACATGACGTATCTTATCAAACGATTATGCAATACCTTTTACATATTCATATCTTCCTTAACTGATTCATTAAATAAACAGAAAAAAAACAAATGTTATTGCGAAAGAATTTACTTCATAGAGAAATTGAAATGACGATTATTTTAGTAAGGCAAGAATGGGTGTATAGGTGTGAGTGCAGGTGTGCTCTAGGTGGATCTTCTCGTCAACACACTCACACCCACACCCACTATTGTTTGAGTATGTACTCGACCAAAAAGCGACTTGACAGCTGGAGACCTTCCCTTGTCAACTCTATTGTCATCTATTCTTAGTCGATCGAGCTAAACGAGCTTGATGGTATCAAAGTCTTATTTGCTTTACCACAAAAATATTAAACATAACTAGTGAATTGTTTGGGGAAAATGTTTGTTCAAGCAATTGCGTTGGGATTGAAATGTGGAACTTACATACGTTTTTAGCTTCGCTAAAGTAATGTAGAAGATTTCAAGTGAGAAGTTTCCAGTAGATGATTGTTATTCTCTATAACCAGAGTTAGAACCTGTCTTATTTATCTCTGCACTTGGAAGAGAAGTTTTTTTCTTATAAGGGCGTCTTACGTCGTGGTTCGTCTGTTGGCTATTCACTCGTTATTTTTATTTTACATATCTAGTTTTTCTTATTTTAACATTGTTACTTTTGCAAACAATGAACTAAATAGAAAGAAAGGCAAAAAACATACAATTAACGGAATTCATTATTTCAGAAAAAATCCAATGCGTCGTATATATTCAAATCAATCATGTTCGGAAAAAAACTAACTATCAGCAATTAATTTGTATGAAATTTTCTATGAAACGTTTTAATTAATTTAATGGAATATATTCTTCTTTAGTACATACTCAACATAATAATTGCTGCTCTAAGTGCTGCCAGAATAAGCAAGCATACTAAAGTCATTATAGCGCAGCAACAATATTGACTTGTGAAGTAGGCTCCACGTCTTCTAAAGTACGATAGAACTAAGTCAAAATAGGAGACATTTTTATCTAGAAAAATAGTTGCCTTCTTTTTCTTTTATTTTCTTCATCATTTACTCCAAGAATCCAATAGAAAGTGAACAGAGCACACTTCTCATCTTTTATAATAACAGCATCGTTCATGGATAAAATTTGTTTTCTGCTCGAAATTGAAGTTCAGAGACTATTTGGTGATTTGAAGAATAAATTGTTTGACTAAAAAGAGACAAAACAAGTCCTCTATAAATGAGTATATAATATTAAAAGTCATTTTCTATTTCGAATCGAAACGAGTATCGATAAATTGATCTTTATCATTCAAAATTTCATATTCATATTTCAGCTATAAAACCAGATCAATTTGTAAAAAAAAATTATAAAGATATATGAGATTCGGTCTGTATATTTGTTTTGTATTTCATCTTTTTTCGATTCTATTGGATTTCAATGACTTAGATTATAATGATGTCTCGTAATAGATCAGCCATAAGGGAAATCATTTCAGATGTTAGCACATATGCCCAATGCAAATTTATTTTAAGCAAGAAAACACTGTTGTTTAGAGATGTTTTATCAGACGAAAAAATTAATCATCTTCATATTCACCATTTATTTTTTCAAGCAGATGCCTCGGTACACAAATTGTCGGAGAAATAGAATCTTTTTTCAGATATGTACATTGGTGAAATTGATTGAGCAGAATGTTTGACTTTTCTAGTAGTTGTAAGAAATTTTCAAGTTAGTCTTTGGGAAGTAAAATGTGTTTGAACTCGAGCAGTATAATATGTAGAACATTTTCTTGATAACTTCAAATCCATTTGTTTGTTCAAGAAACACTTATTCTGAGATACAAAGCAGTTCGAAAAAATTCAGATTTATCCGATAATTATCTAGTGGATCAGTCAGTCAATCAGGACTTGTAAAAAATCTTGTTAAAGTTATCAATAATAGAACGATGAATGGAATGCAACAGATGTTTGATAAATTCTAGCACCACACTGAAAAATTGGACATAAGAGCTTTCAGATGAGACAAATTCGTATGAAAAAACGTACTAGAAATTGTGCCAACCACTAAACTTAGATCATGTTTTGACGAATGATCCTTGCAAAATCATATTATACGTAAAATCCTATATGATTTGTTTGAAAGTTCATATAAGATTGTTTGTAGTAATTAGAGTGTTGTAAAAATCATATGGCAAGACTTGATAAAAGTTTCTCAAAGGTCACAATTTCCGTGTGATTCTGAAAATATCTCACAAATCAAAAATTTACACTTTGGATATTGTGACATGATATGAAATCATACAAAAAAAAACCTAGTTTCACAAAATCTAATAGTCAATAGTACTACACGAATCTTAAAAGATCTTACCATCATATAACATTTCGTATCATCTTAAAGTGATACTTTATGATGGAAAGAGATGTTTCGAGAGTCTTGTAATGAGCCTTACCGTAAAATTTCCGAGACAATGATCCTTATTACGACAATATAAAATTTTACTTGTGAGAGATTTCATTGTTTGGTTATCTGATCTTGGTGCAGTGAAATTTTAAAAGATTCTTCTACGAACTATTTCATCTGAGCAATTATCTAGTCAAATCTAATAGAACTTGATTAGCACCTTACCTGTGAAACTGAAAAAGTGGACAGTATTTGATAGGAATTTTGTGGAAACAGTCATAAATGGATGCGACAGATTCTCACGATAAAATCAGATGATTTTGTTACATTAGAATCTGATTCGATTCCAATATCAGGGGCCCAGTTATCATTCTTTAAGCTAGTTCTTGACATTATTTTTTTGAATAGATTCTATCGAACTTTATTTAATTCTCATAGAATCTAATCAGATATCATTAGGTTTGGCGGAATCTAATTTGATATGTACAGGGTTACTCTGTCCTATCCTACCATGCAGAACTAGGAAAAAAAATTCAAGTATTGAGAATATCTTTCTGATTTTCATACAAGTTGAAATCATAAAAATATTGCAATGAATTTGAGGAACGAAATCTAGTATCAAAGGTAAGGAGAATATATAAAAGTGTTATGAATCATCAAGAGAATATAATTTATTTTTGATTCATTGAAAACTTTCACAAGATATTATTGCTATTCAAGTTTCTCTTTGAGATCGAAAGAAGTCTTTGTATTTTCGAGAAACTTTTGTTTTCTTACTTTGTTTGGTGCTCGGTAAAGTTCTTGTGGTATTGATATTCGACTTCTTCTGTACTGATCATTGATCGGTATATGTATTTGTTTTCGATAAGTCGATGATCAACTTATTCTTTGTACACTAACAGATGGATGAGCTCTATTATTTTCATTGCTTAAAGATTGACTTCGTTTTTGTGAATGGTTCGACGAAGAAATTATTTTATCGAAATAATTTGGTAATATATTTCTTGGATCGCTTCTAATTGAGAACCAAATTAAATTTTCTTGATTGTTTGAGGATGAATTTATGCTTTGTAAATCAAGAGATGCATATCGTGCCTCCTTTGAATCATTCGACAGAAGATTTGTTGTACTCTTATGAACTGATGAATATCTTCTAACATTGTGATTCTTTAATAGATCATTCGCCATTTTCTTATTATTCAAGTTTTGATGTTTCATTCGTCCTTCAAGAGATCTATTGTTTATGGATGATGGTTCATGCTATAATGATAGAATTTTTTTACTATATTATTCTATAGATATAAGTGATTACATACGATTTTTGATTGTCTATGGACGCGGGTCACCTTTATTTTATGTACTAGTGATGCCATTTCTTAAATTATGGATTTACTTCTTGTCTAAATAATTTTTCAGAAGTTTTATGCGTTGACAATATCGATTTATATGGTAATAGAGAATGATGCTTTCATTAGTCTGTGTCTATGAACTCTGAATATTTGTATGAATATTTCAAATTAGATTACCTTACGTTAGTTATGATCTTTTGTCGTATTGTTTTGAGACAAAAATGAAAATATCA